GTACCAGAAAATTTCGAGGTCGATAGACATCCGACTTCCCGCAGGCCTGATATTCAACTGTTTTCCCTTTTCTTTCCAGACACATTTTTAGATTATGGTAGTGAGACTTCATATTTACTGAAATTCGCTTACAAAAAGATGTTTTCTAAAGAATGTGAACCTAAACAGCTATTGTTTACTGTACGGCGAATTGCAGGGCGTTGTACGGCGTATTGCAAAAACAACAACTTGTTTTCTTTACGGCGTCTTGCAATATACTGTAATGTAAAGATGATATTAATAACTATATAGGTATAGGTAATATATGGTGTACATATTAATGCGTTACCAGCTTACATACTACAAGGCATAACATTCTAAAATATATGCCGTTAATTTCATTCAGATGTCATTGTCGCGAACCGGCCTTTTTGGACGTTGTGTGTTTGAAAGACAAAAATTGTTTCGTTAACCTAATCATTCTAAATATATTTCTATGTCGCTATACTTCTGACAACTGTTGTTTTAATTGTTGTAAGGGCGAATTATCAAAACTCAATAAAACACCGTCCATTCATCTTTTGTGGGGTGTTCTGTAATAGTTATCCCATGAGGACATGGTGTGTCAGTGTAAGATCACCCCGATGACCGGAGGCCAGAGGTTGATCTTACACTGACACACCAAGTCCGAGTGGGATAACTATTTTACATCCCAGCTCTTCTAGACTATATGAAAAAAACATTTACGCTTCATAACATCTAGTTCAGAATGCCATAAAATAATTATAATATACTTTATATATTACTATATAGTATATACCCTTTATGAGCCCCGGATACAATGTTTAAATATGTCAAATTAACAGTGAGTTTGTATCGAGTCGTCCTGGTTTAGGGGTATGAATCGTGGCTTCAAATGCTTAAGGTCTTGAGTTCGATTCCCCGCATAGACACTGGAAATTTAGTGGATTTTTTCTACAAAAATCTTGAAAGTTAGTCTTTATTCCGAATAAATCTTTCTAAGTTTTGTTGTGTGTTCAATATTCCCGCCAAAATGTAACAGAACAAAAGAAAGCAAAAATAAGCTTTTTCTTATTTAAGTAAAAAAAAATGTTTGTCACGAGAGAAAAACCATGCCCCCTCAAAAAAAATAAATGGTCAGAGCCTAAAATACAATTTGGAAAAAAAATTCCGCAAAGGAACCGACGACTTAGAATATTTAGTTCTTTTGTAGGACATTAATCATCCAAACTACTATTATGGCAGACAATACATGTGTAGTAACCAAAGACAAATAGTCTCAGATAAAAGAAAAAAAAAACATTTTTAATTTTCAAGATAGAAAATTAAAAGACTGTATATAATTGTTAATTCTGTTTGGTCTAAATTAAAAGGAGTGGGTGGAGGGATTGCGGGGGATTGGGTACATTCGCCGGACTTCTCTTTTTGTAGTACTTTTTAACAAATAAGACTTTGATATTGTGTGAAACAAATGATATAATTCAACAAAGTAAGACTTGCAAATTCATTAACAGTTATAGCAGCACGTGTTTCTTTTTCAAACACGCATTCTGTTTTGAAAGTTACGAGATGCCAATTTGATTTCTGGGAGGGGAGGAGGATTATGAAAATGAATACCTTGGCCTGGTAAGAACTGAAAATAAATAACTCTGCAATAAACAGGATGAAAATGAATAACCTTCAGCACAAAATGCCGGAAACAAATATGTACAAAAGTGAAAAATTATATTTCACGAGGAAAAAATAAGCAAATAAATTATCAATCCGAGAAAAAACCCTCCTGCCAGCCCTCTCAGAATATTAAAGGGTCTGGTCATCCCCTTATACAGGTTTGGAACTTGACCTATATATCAGATTTAATCGAAATGATGGTGTTTAAAAATCAACATTTATTCTTCAAATATATAAAAATAATCGAATCTTAATACGGTTTATCTCATTTATAAGATAAACCAATTTAACGAAAGAGATTTGATTATTTTTTTTATTTATTTTCCATAAAAGAACTTCGAATCCGTATCTTGTTAATTTGTATTTTTTACAAAATGTATAATTAGGTACTCGCAATAATTTTCGAAAAGGACGACATATAAATATTATAAAACTAGCAAGTTGCAATACAGTTGAAAAACAAGTTGCCGTACTGTAAACCTGTCAACAAGAGCAAGTTGTCATACCCTAGGCTTTATTGGTTTTTACCTATATTCTTTAGAAAACATCTTTTTGATAGCGAATTTCAGTAAATATGAAGGCACACAATCATAATCTAAAACTTTGTCTAGAAAGAATGAAAAACAGTTGAATATCTAGCCAGCGGCACGTCGGACGGTGATCGATCTCGAAATTTTCTGGTACCAAGTGCACATTTTTGGAGTACAATATACAATGTTGTCTTTGTTTGCTACTTGTTGGTATAAAAAATTAAAGCATTATATATCAGAAAATCGTTTCATGAGCGGTAACCTCATCAACACGGTAGAAATGGTTTCTTACCTTGTTTATTTTTTTTTCTCCTTTCTCCCCGCTTCGTTGGTACCCAATCTCCGGTGGCGATGATACACAGTGTTATCACATTGATCAGTCCGAATTTGAGATTAATGAAAAGATAGAACAGGAACGTTCAAGCTGGTCATTCCTAGTACATTTTTTGTAGTATCCTTTTATTGACAATCATTATATTTTGCTCTAAATAACAGTTTATACTTTGTATGAATATATCTAGATTCTAATGAATGATCTAAACAAAATTGTATATGAATGTTTAAATATTGCCTGATTGACTGTTGTTTACTCTTATAACGTCCAGTTGCAAACTTAAAAACGCTAAGACACTAATGAGTAATAATAGCGATGCATACTCTTTCAAAAACAGGAACTGTTGATATCATGCAATCCAAAAGGGCTTGTACTGCAATATCCTTTGTGAGGTCATTCGTGAAAAGCAATAAATAATTAAGAGTTACATGTAAATTAGACATACGAGACATGTAGGGAATTTTGTTGCCGCCGACTTCCTTCTCATCACCTAGATCAACCAATCTGAATAAAATTCAGATCAATCGTACGTAATTCGTTTACTCATGGAAGATCATATGCATAGCGAAACCACATATCTATTGTTAGATCCACATCCTAAGGGGGAAATCCCCATAAACACATTAAAGTAATAGTAACTCATCATATACTGCAAAATCAATATTTTAACCATTCCCTTTGACGTAGTGTTATTCATAAAATGAGGGAAACTTTTATATTTCGTTCAGCTCCCAAGCAATAGAAGACGTGTAGGGTGACGCAATGTGTCGTTATTGCAAAATACATATACCAAGTTTGTGACGATAAACATCCAAAAAATATTTATATTTTTTTATGTCAATGAAACTTCAACGGTACTTTGTGTACATAATGAATCAGGACAGAGATTGAATTGTCGGAGAAACGTAAAACAAATGAATGAAGAGTGGACAAAGATAATCAAGCTACTTCTAATAAAAAAATTCCAGAAATCACAACTATGCTTGAATGTACTACAAATTCCCAAACAAGTAAACCCTATAACCTTGGCAGAGTGTAGATAATAGCGCACTTTATTAAACTCAAAGCTGGAGGGTTGAAACAAATGCATGTAAATGAAAGGATATGAGAGAAAAAGAGGTCACTAAAAATCATCTGTCGAAGAAAAAAAGACAACACCATGGCCAAAATGAAAAACGACGAAAAGTTTATAAAATACTACACAAAAACTAGACTAAGCAACACAACCCCAACCAAACACTGGGCGTGAAGGGCTCCGGACGGGTAAGCAAAATCCTGTCCCTCTGTAGTTCTTGTCGTACGGTAATCATCTGAGACAACAACTCAAAGGCACACACAATATGACGGACATCTAGAAGTCAACATACTGATTTAACAATAGACTAATGTCTTTACAGTCGATATGTCCATCTATAATAATTAATCGTCCAAGTGTAGAAAAATAAAGAATACTGTTTTAATAGAGACCATAAAAATTGAATATTTCCCGTAGATATTCAATAAATATAATAAAGGGATACTTAATCGAAATTATAGATGAACTAAATTGCTAAAAAGGTCCAATAAAACGTTTGAAAAAATGCCGCACTACACAATGTACAGAGTTGTTAACAGATTCTTTTTATGTGCCAAAATTATTACATTAGCTGGATCTGGGGCATTAAATGTAATGTCCTATATCGACAGCATTGCCTGCGTGTCTATTTCTTTTTGTCGCAGTAATATGAATGCTCGGTCAGGAAATGTTTTGTCCCTAGAAGTAAAAGATAGAAGTTAAGGTACCCAGACATTAAAAAGGAGCTATTTTGCTACAGTCCTTCCACGGATATGTTCAAATTTTCATAATAACAGTCCCGTCCTCTTTTTCCTCGATTGTGACATTACCCGAATACGACTTACCACCGAATGTCGTGAGCAACACGACTGTTGCACTAGTGGAGCAGGATCTGTTTACCCTGTAGGAGAACCTGAGATCACCCCTTAGATCTTGGCGGGGTTCGTGTTCCTCAGTTTTTAATTTCTGTTTAGTGTTTTATAAATATTTTTTTGTCTTTTCTTCGTTTTTCATTTTGCCCATGGTGTTGTGTGTTTATGATCGACGTATGATTTTTTACTGCCCCTGTCGTCTACCTATTTTCCATCGTAGGTGTCTAAAATAAAATTTGAATTATACATCAGCAACTTTTGCTTAAAAAGGGAAATATACAACGGAGGCCAACAAAAACAATCGGAGACAAACAGCACCATGGCCAAAAAGTAAAAAAAAAACAAAAACAAAATGCGGACAAGGAATCAGAATTTGCATGAAGAGTTACATTCCTTAACTTCAAATAAATTCTCAAGTTGTGTAACACCAAATTTCAAAAATAAAATATTCATATTTGCATGCCAGTACTGAAGTACTAAGTTCCCGACAGAGCTGTTGATACACTCATGAACTATTAAACCATTAAACAGTCCATCAGCTAAGTTCAATACTGTATTGTATATAACTATAATCTGATCGGTATTTACAATTCCTAAGTCTCAATTCAATGGTAACAGGGGCAATTTAATGCAGATTTAACATCAAATGGATGCAGTGGAAAGAAATTAATGGTTAACGTTGATTATATAAATAGCTTTAAAGAGTGATTATTTGCATAAAGAGAAATCATTGTTTTAATTATAGTTCAAAGTTAGATATTCTTGTTTCAATCTCATGTCCAGGGACGGTCCAATCTTCTGCTGAAAAACCAAATAGACACTATTAAATCATTATTATTGTTTTATGCTATAATTGATTTAAAAACTTTCAAAGTGTAAATCCTATATTTTGAAATTTAAAAAAAAAATCAACGCTGGTGGTACATGTGTTATATTACCTTAGTGTAATAAAAATTACTGAATGTTTCGGGTTAAACTATACATGACGAACATATCTTATATTTCATTCTAGTAGAAAAAAGTTTGAAAACTTATTTTATTCAGGCAATTTTTTAGAACTAAGCCTTAGAAATATATTTTGTGTCTTAGACCCTTTTTTGGTCTTTAATGAACCTTTTGAAAGATCACCAATCGCAATTAACATAACTTATATCTTGAAAAACTAGTTTAATCTAGTCATATACATGCATGTGCTTGTCCAAAGTCAGAAACTTAGCCGATGTTTGTTTTGCTTCATAGCTGTATGTTTTTGTTATTTGAAGGATTTTGTGTTGATGGTAGATCTATGATATCCTCTGTTTAGTCCATTCACATTATTCTAGACTGTGTGTGATTTAGGGCTTGATATATTTTATAGACACTGTCTATTGTTGAAAACTGCATGTTGAACCCTAAAGGTTATTTGGTTATATGTGTCAAAACAAAAAGTAAAATATCAAAAATACCAAACTCCAAGGAAAATTTAAGTCCCTTATCAAATGGCAAAATCAAAAGCTCAAACACATCAAATGAATGGAAAAAACTGTCATATTCCTGACAAATGAATACTAAATATTGCTTAATTCCCATTAAAAGTGACCAAATGACAAATAATAGTTTGAGCTCCTCTTCCATAACAAGATACAAAAATATCTGTATCAATTTACAAGACGATTAAAAAAATAATATAGAAAAATTAACAATACAAATATATGTACTCACCACTTCACAACATATATACATTCTACTTTCCTTCTTCATTGAGCACAGCTTCAAGATTTCTAATAGCTGCTTCTAAGCGTATGTTTTGCAATCTTGATCCTGTAACACAATTTAAAATATTTTTCAGCAAAAACTGAAACAATAATAAGGAAACGATATTATGAAGCCAATATGCTGGACATTCCTCTCGTTCAATCAAAGAGCGGAAGAAGTATTTTCAACAGAAGTAAGGCACATAACGTAAAATGACGGATACTTTACAATACTAATTTCATAGGATAATTTTATATGAGAATGACCTATTTGTTCAAACAACTGATACTTTCTTTCTTAGGACAGAGCAGTCGGAAATTACAAAGTTGCAAGAACCAAGAACGAGAACTAATTCAAAGAAGGTTGAGGACTAAATGGTACAATATCCAACAAAACTGGTGATTCAATGGTATAATATCCAACAAAACTGGTGATTCATTGGTATAATATCCAACAAAAATGGTGATTCAATGGTATAATATCCAACAAAAATGGTGATTCAATGGTATAATATCCAAAACAATTGTGATTCAATGGTTTAATATCCAACAAAACTGGTGATTCAATGGTATAATATCCAACTTAAATGGCGATTCGAAGAAAATGTAGATTGATATTTCTATTTTCTATATAAAATATTAACATTTAAAAGATACAAAGTTTTTTCAAATAACAGAATATGATGTAACATGTATTTCATTGATTTTTGAGAATTGATTATGTGCTAAAATAAGGGTTAACTTAGAGACGCACTAAATATAGCTGTATATTTCAATCATTTCCATGAAGGTAGATGGGAGTCTAAATTAAAAACGATAGAATTTTTTAATACTTTACCAAAATGAAGTTTAGGTGTCAGACCACCAATTCAAATTCCCTATCTATTCAAAATTTCTTTTCAGTTTTCACAGCTATCTAGATATTTTACCGAAACTAGGTATATCCTGGATTGTACATGTATCACCTTTCTACATGCCAATTTTCAACCAATGTTTAAAGTCTTGTAATGAAACACGACCGTTCGGAAGGCTACTACTACTATAAAATAACCCCTGGTTTTCTGGAAATTTAAAATAAATATACTATGGAGCGCATTAATCCTTAATTTTTAATGCAAACTCAAAGAAATGTAAATTTTGGCTCAAAATGGTCTAAGTATATTTCTCTTTCACCAAAAGTTTCATTTCTGCAAATTTGTTGGTTAGTTAAAGTAAACAATGGCATAAAAAGCACTATTTTTGTCAGGGAAGGGCTACTTCTGCACATGTTCTAAATTGGAGTGGGTGAATTGTTGGTCTGACACCTTAAGGAGGTACCAAACACCTTGACTAAAATTAAATTAAATTTTGACAAATTATTTACTTTAACCCTTTGACAAAAATATAATTATTTCAAAAAACTTGAACCACACACTTTATCGGAAAAATTTCATTGGATATATAGCAGTTTGACAAACACTAATTTTGATCATTAAGAAGCGTAATATTTCCTTAACATTAGAACGTGATTAAAACGTTCAGCTGATATTTACAGAGCTATCTCCCTGTAGTGTTATGTACCACCTTAATAACATGCTTTAAAACGATATAATAATAAACTGTTAACCCAGAGATATGTCTCGCCTTTTTGTTAATGTGATAATGCAAATGTTGAAATTTAAATAGCAATATTTTTACATGTAAGTTATGCAAATATTTAAGGTCAACGAACCATGACTGAAATTACAGGGCTACACAATCTCCATGGAAATGAGATGTGTCAATGCTTATAAAACTCAGACTAAATACCACTGACTTATCATAAGTCATTCCCTTTAAACAAACCTAAACACAAACATTAGCTTGTAAACTAAGCAAAAGTTTCAAAGTCAATGAACCATGATGAGGGGGTGGGGCTATATAATCTCCATGGAATGAAACTTGCAAATGCCAATACATTTGCATACCAAATATCATTGACTTAACATTAGTGGTTCATCTTAAAATTACCTAATCACAAACTAATACATGTAAAATAAGCAAAAGTTTCAAAGTCAATAGACCATCACTGAGGGGAAAGAACCAACTATTCTCCATGGAAATAAGATGTGCTAATGCTTATACAACTGCATACCAAATATCGTTGACCTACCACTAGTGGTCCCCCTTGAACTGACCTAATCACACAAACTAATACATGTAAACTAAGCAAAAGTTTCAAAGTCAATAGATCATGACTGAGGGGACGGGGCAAAATAATCTTCAAGGAAATGAGGTGTGCCAATGCTTATACAAATGCATACCAAATATCATTGACCTACCACTAGTGGTTCACCATAAACTAGACCTAATCTACATCTACTTATATCTAATCACAAACTAATACATTGTTGACGCCGTCGACGGAAACAGCAAACCTATGTCTTGCTTTTGGACTCCGTCAAGGCGAGACAAAAACCACGGTTTATTGCGCTTTTCTGAGGCCTGGATTGTGCAATATTGTTTTAGGTAGCAATACATAGTTAGGAAAAAAACTTAAATTGACACTCATAATTTTAACCACCCTCTTTCCCTTGCTTTCCAACAAATAAGGTTTAAAGTTTGTGTTAATGTATGTGCATATGTATGAAAACAGCATCTTCCATAGATTTCGTTTCCAATAGTTAAGATGGTGAAATATAATCTCTTTTTGGTGTAACCATGGCAACAATCTGCATTTATTTGATACAAAATATTACAAAAAGAGGGGTAAAAATGTGACAAAAGTCCCCAAAATTTGGTCCAAAGAAGAATTTCAATCCATAAGAGTGAAACCTTTTCTGAAACCATAGACATTTATCTATCAAGAGGTCCAAAAAATCATATGCATTGCACCTCATTTTTCCATGAAATTGAATTGAAAAGTTCGAGGGTCAAATCTTTGTTGAAAAACACTACAATAATTTCTGGACCTATGGGCGGTATGGATGTGAAAATACGGACTGTCAAACAGAAAAATGGCCTATAAAATATGCAAAAAAATATTCTTGATGTTCATATAAACCCACTTTGAAGGCTATATTATACTTCAGCTATCTAAAAATCAATTTTATTGTACAAAACTTTTATATTTAAAAAATTCACCATGGCCAAAATGCGAAACTAAACTTCTTCTAACTGTGTATTGCTACCTTATAAAGACTTTTCAGAAAGAACAACAAATTGGGAATCTCACCGTACTCCCTATCATGCTACACACTAAGTAGTACATTTACTGTACATTTCTTCATAAAATTAAATGTTCTGAGCTACCTCCCATCATTTGGCTTTTTAACAAAAGTGGACCAACCAAAACTAATTTTTTAAGAACAATAATAAAATAAACCCCATAGTTTTTATTATAGATGAAAAGTAACACAAATGAATAACATTCCTTTCTCAAAGTTTTCATATTTCATTAAAGATCTTGGACAATTATTTTTTGTTCCTTTACAATACAAGATGACGGATGACCCAGATCTGTCACAGGCGAATCTACATTTTCCAGTCCTTGGTAGCTTTAATGTTGTCGAGTCCTTTACTGATGTCGTAAGAAGATGTCAAACGTATGCGCTGTATGACACTTTAGTAATGCATGAAATCATGAAGTGCGATAAGTTCGAAAGGCTTCTCGTTTTTTTTTATAAAAACAAACGTGAATCCTTTCTAACTTATTGGAGACATACGATATCTGAAATTTCGATCTTTTCTGCCTACAAATTAACGATGTAACAATTACTGTAGTTTGTTTCCCATAAAAATGCTATAAGTACATCAATGACTTAGCTACACATTAAGACAATTCTCGTGTTAATTTGCCTATTTTTCACAAGAACATGTATTGGACTATCTACAATGTATAGGTATATGTTTAATATTTTCGTGTATATCCTATCTTCTATAGATTTCAGAGAATTTAATCATTGGTCGCTCGACGTCATGTGCTGATAATTTTATTTAATGCACGTCGTTTATAATGTCGAGTTATCGTTTTTGATTTTCGATACATTACGGCATGCGATCAATGTTCAAAGTGATAATATATAAATAACACATAGCTGAGAGGGTGATAGAGCAGATTGTTACCCCGAGTAAACCTTGTCAACTGAGGCGAAGCCAAGGTTGACAATGTCTTTTCGAGGGGTAACAATCTGCTCTATCACCCTCTCAGATATGTGTTATCTAATTTATTATACTGAATGTTCTGTTATTACTGTCTATTAAATTTAAAATTCAAAGTAATAAACTTTGTCGTCTCATACATAACAATCATCCGTATTTATTAAAGCGCACACTTGAGCAGGCGTCTCCGTGAATGGTAATAGAGTATTTGCCATGGGATAGAGTACATTGTCTCTCTCGAATTAACCAATCAAAATTTGGCATTTTGACATGACGTATAATAAATAAATACTGTCGGTAGATATGATATACACGTAATTATTATACACTCCGTCAGTGACCTAATATGGATACACACTCTCGCACTATATATAAGATTTACCGATAGTGTCTTATATATAAGTTACTGGCAGCATGTATAATACATATTAATTGTTTCCCATAATTTTTGGACCGCCCCGCTCTTCCCTAGATATTTTATACGCAACTATTGCCTATCCATGGTAAATATGTCTAAAAAAAACAACATTCTAATATTTACATACGTCTTCTTGCAGGCTGTGCTGTAGTTGGAAGTATTGGTGGGGGTGATGGTGGTGGACAAACACAACGACGAGCTGCAAGGTATTAAAAAACGTTTAAGAAAAAATGGTTTATATAACGGTTTCCTAACCTTAGATATTGATTAGATACAATGTCTTCCCAGTAATGCTTTGCTTCTCTCACAAGTAAGAGCTACAAAACAGAAGGAATATTACAACGAAAAAGGTACGTGAACATATTCGTGTTACAATGTATGCACAATTGTCGTTATAACAGATTGAAATCATTTTATTATAGTGAATGAAGAATTAACTATTGCATTTTTTTAAATTTTAATAAAATCTTTGAATTTAAATTTTTTTAGTTGCATCGTTGAGTTGGTTTTGAAAAGCGAATGAATAGAATATTTCAAATCCTCTGAAATGCTCCATGATTCTTATACAATTTGAAAATAACATTCTATAATTTTTGTGCTTAAGAATCGCTTTTCTCGGTTTACCTTCATAAGAAATACTCAAAACCAAAATTTTGAAGCAAGGGAGGTAAAGATACTTGACGAGCTTAGGTCAAAAGTGTTTCACCTATCGGAGATTCCCCTTTTTCATATAAAACACATTTTTGATAAAAATTCTACTGAAGATATTTATTGTCCAAATTGAAAGAATTTTTGTTTTCATTAAAGACAAAAATGTCTGCAGTTTCTTGCAATAATTATGAAATATATTTATGATTAATATTTGTAGGGAAATCAATGTTCAAAGACAAATATGAATTTCTGCACGAACATTTTTATAGCTATAAAGCAACAAATGACACTTAATTTCAATATTTGTATACAAATAATGATTTTTTTTAGTAATGACACGTCATAAGAATATTCCATAATAACCATAAAAAATGTTCCATTTGTCAGGTTAACATTAAAAATTTCTTCAAAATCGGACTTCAAAATATAGTTTTAAAAAAGGTGTTTTTATATGAAATAATTATAGGAGAATTTGGGATAGGTAAAACAGTTTTGACCTAACACTGTATATGGCCAGAAACGACATAAAAAGAAGATCTAAGGCAAAATTTGCAAGAGGGAGTTGAAACCTTAGTTTTTGATAATTTCTTAATTATTAACGTATTTTAGAAATTTATATTCAATTTACCATTTAGTTTTTTTACTAAAATGATATACATACCTCTTTTTCCAGGCTTTGTTGGTGGGCAAGAACAACCTGGAGGGGAGACATTTATAAGGCATTTAGTTACGTTAACACAATTAGTATGCAAAATGGTTAAAGTTGTTACTTGTATGAAAGTTTCTTTTATGTGAAGATAAGTATACTAGAAAGCATGTATCCATCTTTGTATCAATCTGATGAGTTGAGCCCTTTTCAATTGAATTTTACAGTTTGTTCTTATGTTGTACTGTAACACCACTGTCCCAGGTTAGGGGAGGGTTGGCGCCTTCAAACTAGTTTAACCCCGCCACATTCTGTATGTGCCTGTCTCAAGTCAGGAGTCTGTAATTCAGTGGTTGTCGGTTTTTTGCTGTATATCACATTTGTTTATCGATCATTATTTTTTACTTAAATCAGGACTTTAGTTTTTCTCGTTTGAATTGTTTTACATTTTTCATTTCGGGGCTTTTTATAGCTGATTACGCGGTATGGGTTTTACTCATTGTTGAAGCCGTACGGTGACCTATGGTTGTTAAATTCTGTGTCACTTGGTCTCATTGGCAATCGTACCAAATCTTCTTATTTTCATATGTAAGAAAATATCGAGTATCGCAGCAATTTACCAATTAATTCATGAACATCCCTTTATCGCATATAGCATTATCTTTTTTTAGATATATTGTATATAATGTTGTTAAAGGGGCATTAGCTACGATTTAGACAAAAAATCTAAATACGATTCTTTTTGTTACAAGTATTAAAAAAAGTGGAATTTGGAAATAATATTTCGTTTCAAGCAGTTAGTTTTGCCCAAATTTGTCAAAATAAGCTCAAAAACATCGCTGATGTATTATTGACTTGCATAAGACGTGAATAATTCGACCTCATGTGAATTCGTATTCATGTGAACATCAATTTAACCCCTTAGCTGGAGATTGGTTACGCATGTACTAGGCGTGTTCTGCTATTAAAAGGAAAAGAATGTCAACATTGAAAGTGAAACAAGGGTGAACCATTTTGTTGACTGATTCGATCCACAAAAAATATTCTTATACAAATTAAAACGATGATTGGCATATTTTTTAACCTATACCATGAAATAATACACACCTAGAAAAATCCAATTGCACGTGGTCGCTTTCTATTTTTTTAAATTTTTATGTATTATATCGGGTTAAATGACCAATAGCAGTCTTCGGAGGTCATCTCTATGGTTAATTAGATGGCGTCTAAACTAAAATTCACACGAAATGCTGATATATATTATCGAGTCCATGCATTGTTAATTGTTTATTTTAGACTTTTTGTAATTTGGATATACTTTTAAGTATGTTATAAATCAAATATGAGAATTTGAGTCAAATTGGTGAACAAGCATTTGACAGCTAATGCCCCTTTAATATATTTCAATAGAAGTAAAAATAAATGACAAATTTGCTGGGGACACATCTAAAAACGTACAAAAAGTGAATAATTGTAATAATGAATTACATCTGCATTTCATAAAATTAAAAAAAAAATCTTATAATCTAACTTATTTGAACTGAATTCCGAAACCTTTTGAGGTAGAAAACAGTAGCTACATCATGGACTCATTTGTTTGAGATGTGTAATATGATGTTTGAGATCCATATTTATCTTTCTGCAACAAATTGACCATGTTCCAGGGTTTGGCTATTTTTTCCTGAACAAAATTAGCAGTTAAAGTGCAATAAAACAGAACTGGATTATCATACATTTGTAACTGCTAATATTGACGTACCTTCCAGAGCACTTCAGTTCATCTGTTTTGTTTGGGTTCGTGTTGCCCAATCTATAGTTTTTTTTTGTATTTTATTTGTCGTTTTGGTCGTGGTGATGTATGTTTTATAGGACTCATGCTTTTGGTTGTCCCCTTGGAATTATTCATCTCTTTTTAAGAAAATTATGGAAAATATTGCGTTTATTTCAGTTTTCATATTTTATAATGTAAATATGTTTAAACTGAGATATGACAGGATTCGAATACCAGAATCTTTCTGGCTCGACTCCCTTTATCAGATGTACATTTACACAAAAAAAATTCAACAGGAACTATAATGCAATATAGCATAATTAAGAAAATGAGGATTTTCCACAGAATACATACCATCAGGAGGTGGTGGTGTATACATTCCATCAGGAGGTGGTGGTGAATACATACCATCAGGAGGTAGTGGTGTATACATTCCATCAGGAGGTGGTGGTGAATACATACCATCAGGAGGTGGTGGTGTATACATTCCATCAGGAGGTGGTGGTGAATACATACCATCAGGAGGTAGTGGTGTATACATTCCATCAGGAGGTGGTGGTGAATACATACTATCAGGAGGTGGTGGTGTGTACATACTATCCGAGGTGTTGGGGAATACATACCATCAGGAGGTAGTGGTGTATACATTCCATCAGGAGGTGGTGGTTAATAAATACTATCAGGAGGTGGTGGTGTAAACATACTATCCGAGGTGTTGGGGAATACATACCATCAGGAGCTGGTGGTGTATACATACCACCAGGAGGTGGTGGTGTATACAAACCATCAGGAGATGATGAATAAAACATACCATGAGGAGATGATGAAGAATATATACCACCTGATGGTGGTGGAAAATACATACCACCAGGAGGTGGTCGAAAATACATACCACCAGAAGGTGGTCGAGAATACATACCACCAGGAGGTGGTGGAGAATACATACCATCAGTAGATGGGGGAAAATACATACCATCCAGAGGTGGCGTAGAAAACATACCATCAAGATGCGGAGGAGAACACATGCCATCAGGAGGTGGTGGAGAATAAATACCATCAGAAGGTGGTGGAGAATATGCATACCATCAGGAGGTGGTAGAGAATACATACCATCCGGAGGTGGTTGAGAATACATACCACCAGGAGGTGGTTGGGAATACATACCGTCAGGAGATGATGGATAAAACATACCATAAGGAGTTGATGGAGAATACATACCACTAGGAGGTGGTGGAGAATACTTACCACCAGGAGGTGTTGGAGAATACATATCATCAGTAGGTGGTGGAAAATACATACCACCAGGAAGCGATAGATAATACATACCACCAGGAGGTGGTGGGGAATACATATCATCAGAAGGTGGTGGAGAAAACATACCATGCAGAGGTGGTGGAGAATACATACCATCAGGAGGTGGAGGAGAATACATACCATTACGAGGTGGAGGAGAATACATACCATCAGGAGGTGGTGAAGAATACGTAGTATCCGAGGTGGTGGGGAATGCATACCATCAGAAGGTGGTGGAGAATATACATACCATCAGGAGGTGGTGGAGAATACATACCGTCAGGAGATATTGAAGAATACATACCGTCAGGAGATGTTGAAGAATACATACCATCAGTAGGTGGTGGAGAATACATACCATCCGGAGGTGGTGGAGAATACATGACATCAGGGGAAGATGGAGAATACATATCGTCAGGAGATGTTGAAGAATACATATCATCAGTAGGTGGTGGAAAATACATACCATCAGGAAGTGGTAGATAATACATACCACCAGGAGGTGGTGGGGAATACATATCATCAGAAGGTGGTGGAGAAAACATACCATGCAGAGGTGGTGGAGAATACATATCATCAGGAGGTGGTGGAGAATACATACCATCAGGAGGTGGTGGAGAAAACAAACTATCCGAGGTGGTGGGGAAATCATACCATCAGGAGGTGGTGGAGAATACATACCATCAGAAGATGGTGGAGAATATACATACCATCAGGAGGTGGTAGAGAATACATACCATCCAGAGGTGGTGGAAAATACATGACATAAGGAGAAGATGGAGAATACATACCGTCAGGAGGTGGTGGAGAATACATACTATCAGGCGATGTCGGAGTATACATACCATCAGGAGACAGGGGAGAAAACATATCATGGTGGAGAATACTTACCAACAGGAGTTGTTGGAGAATACATAGTGAATACATACCATCAGGAGATGGGGAAGAATACATATCATCAGGAGATGTTGGGGAATACATACATCAGGAGATGGTGGAGAATATATACTGTGGCTGAGAATACAAACCATCAGAATATTGCGGAAAATACATACCAGGAGGAGGTATGAAGGGTGGATCAATTTTTGGTGGTGATTCTTTTCTCTCTGAAAAATCATTTTGAATTGTCATAACGTTTTCCCAAGATATATTTTTTTGATTTTCCGCGTTCTCAAAATGTATTCTGACTTCTAAAAGTATTCAATAAAGGTTATGTGGAACAAATAAAACTGAAGACTCCATAACATGTATGTTCATCGTCACGGATTGGTTGATTGGTACGTTGTATATATTCATCAACATACCTTTTCTTAAAATTGGTACCGTTATTGTTATTACTACCACCGGGTTGATGCCTCTGCTGGTGGACTGTTAGTCCCCGAGGGTATCAAAAGCCCAGTAGCCAGTACTTCTGTACTGGCAAGAAAATACGGATTTTGTGTTTTTAAAATTTGCTCTTACAAAATTTTTGAAATTATTTTAAATTAAAGAAATATATCTCCCTCATGCAAAGTTCTGATTCCTTGCCCGGCTTTAGCTATACTTTTTTGTCCATTTTGGTTTATAGCTCTTCGTCTTGTTAATAAGCTTTGGATTTTTAAATATTTTTGCTTCCAGCATCTCATTAAAGAGACATTTATTGTGGAAATGCGCATATGGTACAGTTAATGTCATAACTAGAAACCAAGACTCCACACACTGTATGTTCTTCGTCACGGATTGGTTTAATGGTAAGCTGTATATGTACTTTAACCCATTAGAAAACAAGACTCCACACCTTGTACGTTCATCGTCACGGATTGGTTTACTGGTACGTTGTATATGTACCTCAACCCATTAGAAGCCAAGACTCCACACCTTCTACGTTCACTATCACGGATTGGTTGAATGATACGCTGTATATGTACCTCAACTTACTCGAGACATTTATGCTCTCTCTTTTTACTAGTAACATTTAAGACCTTGCAAAATAGGTCATTCATATCTGTTTTTATACATTTGAGTTTATTACCGGTTTTGTCTAAATTCCTTTTTGTGACACAACCTACTGTACATACAAAAGTATGATAGTAGTGCATTCATAGCAGAGGATAATTACCCTGTCCCGGGCGCCGTCAGGTCTCAATAGTATTCATAGCAGAGGATAATTACCCTGTCTCGGCGCAGTCAGGTCTCAATAGTATTCATAGCAGAGGATAATTACCCTGTCCCGGCACCGTCAGGTCTCAATAGTATTCATAGCAGAGGATAATTACCCTGTGCCGGCACCGTCAGGTCTAAATAGTTAACGTTCAATCTTTTTATTTTTATGTTTACTTACGGATGTCTTTTCGGTATATTTAGTTTGCGAGTGCAAATAATATTACACAAGTAATAATATTCACCAATAGTCGTGGAATAATCCTTTTTATGATGGGAAATGTTTTGAAACGATATGAACCATGTCTAATTACCTTCACGTCGAAATGTTCTTGCGATATTGAGCTAATGTACAAATCTATCAAATACATGTTAACCCTTCAGATGTGCGCAAGACATGCATTAGTCGGTCGGATATCAGTATTTATAATTTTTGAATTGTGTCCTACAAATTAACTTTAGGACATCCAACGTTTTGCATTAACTTCGAATGTAAAAAAAAACATCCAAAATAGCCCCATTGAGAAATTTTGTTATTAATATTTAGATATGCCCCAATGCATTACCTAAACCGATATTTTTCAAAAAAATAAAATATATATCTTTATGGGTAAGGCATCGGTTCATACCTTATTTTCAAAAACTATGCATAACATGTTTAAGAAATCAAACTGACAACTCTTTTTCTAAAATGTCCAGTTTATATCATAGATCCTTTTCTTTCATCATTAGAACTAACTTAATTGTGAAAGAATTGAAAAATTTTACTCTACAATTTCAGGATAAAATTTGTGTTTTGAATTTTTTTAATGGTTGATGGATTTTTTTGAGGTGAAAGGCAATTATCTTAAGCATATAAAGATAACATGTTTCTGGTAATTAGATATACATATACACTACTTTGTTCCAGGCGATTCAATGAAATGACCATCATGAGTCATAATATTGAAATTCTAAATAAACGTAATAAATGTAATGTCTAATAACTTTAGACAAATGGCAACTTTTCAATGTAATAAAATATTACCTAGCTTAGGTGGTCCTGGAGGTGGAGTCTCATCTGCAAAAAATGTGTTAAATTGTCATATTTGAGTTTCATTTGTTCTATTTTTAAATGTTTTAATTGTTAGATTGATACTCAAGTTTATCATATTATAAAAAAATATTCGCATATTCAAAACAGTAATATGATACTGTCATATACACCTTGACTGCTTTGAACAAGACCAATATTGTTAGCAGGATTTGCAACGGTAATATTCACGAACACTTTTCACAATACCAGGACACGTAAATCGGGGGTTCTGAGCTGACTTTCTTTTCTATAATATCATTAACACATTAAACATACTAAATAATTACTGAAGTCGGGTATCCTTTTTTGAAACGCTTATTCTTTGTAGCCTGAAAGGTAATAAATAGTCTAAGAGCGCTTTGTAAGGTGAATTCCTTCTAACTCGTACCGAGCAATCGGTATCATTTGTTTACATGATATACCTTCTCCAGTCTTTTCAAATAACGCGAGTGATTTTAAAGTGTTTAAAAAAATCAATCAATTCGATGGTATGGTGCAAAAGTAATGCAGCTCGATTGGCTTCTCTCGCATCATTCATTACAATACAATTTTAAAGAGTGTTAAATTTCGATACATTTTCTAACAAAAGTAATGTTGAATTTGTAATATTAATAACATAATACCATAACTAGGTTGTGCTGGTGGTGGGGTTATAGCTGGAGGTCCACCTGTAAAATAAAAATGAATAGTTTGCAAATGTTCATAAACGCGCTAGGATTTCGTGTGGAAATACAAGCAGACATGTTTATGAGTTAATCTATTCTATTTTTCAAGGTCTTGATTTGTTGATGGTTTCTTTCCGTTCAACGGCAAACACAATGTACATAATGTTGCTATCATAAAAACAAGATGATATGTCACCATACCCAGATATGCTATTCTTTCTCCTAGTTTACCAGTATTTGTTTTTATAGCAAATTTATTAAAGTGGTGTAATCTTGAACTATTAAATATAGCTGTCGGTTTCCACCTTTTTATAGTTTGATTACACGACCTTCATCACTTCGAGCTTTTTTTACTATCATATCACTATATATATAATAACAAAAACATATTTGTTTTCTACTAATATTATTATCATTATTATTATTAGTGGTCGGGGTACATGAAATAGTAAATAGTACAAAAGTAGCAGTATTTTCTATTTTTCCTTATTCTTTGGAAGAACACCTTGAAAGTTTTTTAAGACAACCTCTTTACTTGATTGTAATATGTTTGTAATTTTAAAGATAAAAAATTTATGTTCACCGATTTGACTCATATTCTCATAATTGATTTATAACATACTAAAACGTATATCCAAATGATAAAAAGTCTAAAATAAATAATTTACAATGCATGGGCTCGATAATATTTATCATCATTCCGTGTGTATTTTAGTCTAGACGCCATCTAGTTAACCATCGAGGTGACCTCCGAAGACTGCCGACGGTCATATAACCCGATATAAACATAAATATAGATATAAATAGATAGCGAACTCGTGCAATTGGATTTTTCTAGGTCTGTTTGATTTCATATTATAGGTTAAAAATATATGTTAATCATCGTTTTCACCTGTATAAGAATGAGTTTTTGTAGATCGAATCAGTGAATGAAATGGTTTACACTTGTTTCAATTTTAACGTTTACATTCTTTTAATGTTAAATTAAAGGTAACATGAATATGGATTCATTGAGGTCGAATTATTCACTTTCAAGTAAATAATTCATCAGCGGTGTTTCTTAGCATATTTTGACAAAATTGAACCAAACTGGCTGCTAAGTGCGAATTATTATTTCACTATTTCACTTTCATTAATGATTGAACAAAAAAAAAAAACATAATCTAATTTTTTGTATATCTCGTAGCTAATGTCCCTTCAAAAGTAACAATTTTACATGATTTTAATTTTGTTTTAATTTTGTTTAGTTGAAATAAAAACACCTTTCATATTTGACAAATTATCATAGCAACAAACCATGATGAAATTCATATATTTTGTGATTTTTTTAATTTTCGTGGTTTTTTAAACATTTAATCACTCAAAACAAGTTCATATTTGGTAATTTTATGTACAAATCTCGAAAAAAGCCTCTATAAAATTAATTAGTTTTTTCCTACATAAAAGACAATAATACAAAAGAACACTTAATATTTGCAAATTATTAGTAATTGTTAGAATCAAATTATATTCAGTAATTTATTCTCTTTTTTTTGGTGGTAATAATATATATCATATTGGCTTTTTACTGGATTTAACAGAATGGGGGAAAGGGGGGGGGGGGGGGGGTGGTATTCAATTTATGATTTCTACGTACTAAAAATATAATTCCTTGTTGAATTTGACATAAATTTAAAAACACTATACTGTTGATTACAATTTGTAATGGACGTGTGAGTTGCGGTAAAATTATAAACAAAACGATATTTCTGTCAAAAATATTTAATTTCATTAATAGATACTAACAGACTAAGGGAATATTCATTAACATTATTAAGTTTAAACTTAAACTGAATTTATCATTAATGGAACATGATTAATAAAGTGATATTACGTCCAACATGTTTCAACAGTGGATACATTTATGAAAATTATATGCAACAATTGAGCACCAATTATCAGGGATGTACACAAATAAATGAGAGTCTAAAATTTAAACTGTAGTGAATATAAACACGAAAAATAGTTGCATGGTTTCAATTCACAAGGATTTTAAATCATTGTATCTCACAAAAAACGTAATTAATATTTTACAATAGTTATTTAATTATCTTGTACCGGTGTAGTCTGGTATAAGTTTCTGCTTATATTTTGTGATTTGATCAAGAAAAATGTCCATCAGTATAAAATACTTGGCGTGTGTGTTATTGATAATATATTTTAAATTTTCGGAAAAAGATTTATTTACAGAAATGTATGTTAAAGGGATACCCAACACGTTGACTAAAATAGATTTGGGTCGTTTAATTTTCAAAAAATTTTGACAAAACAATTACTTTGACTTGTTGACAAAAGTATAAAAATTTCAAAAATTTAAACCTTACAATTCACAGGAATAATTTCAATGAATATATAGCAGTTTGACAAACACTAATTTTGATCATTGATAAGCTTGATTTTTCTTTACTTGTATTTTGTGATTAAAACGTTCAGCTGATTTTTGAAGAGTTACCTCTTCTATGTGTTCAGTACCCCCTTTATTGAATTTCAATTCTTTTTTTAATTTTAATAGTTCATCTTATCGGATCAAAATACTTGCAATATGATGATATTTTGAAACTGGTAAATAAATCCGGAGTTTAACCACTTGAGGTAGATAGACATTCGAATTCAACTAACATTAAATTTGAGCCTGGAATAGATATCCGTGATAACGCAACTGCATATTCTTATCCAGAATATCAGTGCGTATGCTTTCCACTTACCATTTCTTGAGCAAGAAAACACGTGCATGCATTAATACTAATTTCACTCCTGGAATGTGAATTTTCGCAAGTCTTATCTAAATTCAGGACCCGGCAGTAAGAGCTGGACATGTGACTTTGAAACGTGGTCATCATTAAGTATTCTGACCTCTAGTTGTTTCTCTTTCCTTTATTTTTATTTGAATGACAGTCCTACTTTGACATTTTCGAAATACTTAGGATTTTCTACCGTAGGAACAGATTAACATAGTTGTATTCGGCCTTCAGAATTTATATCCCCAACCATGTCAACTTCGTACTTCATTTGGTCTTTTAAAAAAAAAAAATTTCGAGAGTCAGTCCTATTATAAACTTTGAAATTTTCGAAATACTAAGGATTTTCTTCCCCAGGAATAGATTGTAATAGTTGTATTAGGCCTTTCAGAATGTGAGGTCCTCAACCATGTCAACTTCGTACTTTATTTGGTGTTTTTAAAAAATAAATCTCGGGCATCACTGATGAGTCTTTTGTAGATGAAACGCGCGTCTGGCGTACATAATTTGAATTCTGGTATCTATGATGAGTTGACTTTACCAAACATACCTTTTTATACAAATTGGTTCGTTTGGGGGCATGTTCAGGTATTCATAAAACTTCTGAAAACAAGACATTCTTCAAAACTAAGATTTCCCTGTAGAATATTTGGATTTATTTAAGTAACTTTAGAAAACCTTTAAAATTTGAGATGTTTTAGAAGACCAAAATAATTGTCATTTTATAAGAGGTCCTCATGAAGCTGGCGTGTTACTCTCGTGAATAAAATACGAAAGCTTCTTATAAGTTGCATGACACAGAGTTACACTACACACGGAAATGGACTTCCAATGTCTCTATACCACCTCTACAATGCGTACAGAAAGCTTCAATAATGAGTATAAGAATACTTGAAGGCATCCAAGAAACAAAATAGGAAGATATGAAAGATAGAATAAATGCATCCAGATTATAAGGCAAACTGAGTGCTGAAATTTATATTGCAATTTGCTTTAGATATCCCGTTTTCAAAAACTGAGAATTGAAATAGGATAAAATAGTCAATTCTTCAAAGGTCATTTCAAATGGTACCTGTAGACACTTTTTTATTTACAACTAATATCCAACAGTGCTTTTAATTGACTTGTACAAAAATCTTCACACAATTACTTATTTTCAATAAAGGTGTTTTGTGTTTTAACATCATCATTACCTTATTCTGTTCACAGTCCATTATTTGAAATAAAAGCAAAAATAGATTAACAATTTTTTGGTGCCCAGTCAGGGTTCTTGGGTTCACATATTGCTTTTCTCTTTTTAAAGAAAGCAACTTGTTTTATGAATGAATGATTATTCCTTAAACAGATTATCAAAAATAGTTAATGTTCATTTTTTTAATTATCTTAATTCCTACTACAAATACAAAAGAGATCAGCAACTGTTACATATAAAATTATATTTATATACATTATTACATGTGTTTTATGATGACGAATTTTCTCTTATAATTCTGTATGACTGACTCTCTATTTTATTAATGTAAAGTTGTATTATACATTTTTGAGAGATGAGACTTAAATAGATATTGAATTGAATTGCAATAAAAATAGTTTTGAAATACCTAAACGTAGTTAAAACTGTTTGTAAACTGATTAGCCCCTAAATATTTCAAAATGTTGGCACAAGTTGAATGAACCTTTTATCTATATTTTTACTTATGGATTTAAAATTTGGTGTTTTTTTTGTATATCTAGTTTGCGAGTGCACAAAAATATTATACGGGTAATAATATTTATAAATATTCGCGCAATAATCCTTTTCGAATGGCAAATATTGTAAAACGATAATAACAATGTAGTATTACCATTCATGTCGAAATAGTTATGCGATATTGAAGAATTTCAATGTTTTAGAATTTCAGGGACCATATTTGAGTTTTGAATTTGTTCTGTTTGACAATGCTTTATACAATAAGGAGATGAGGGATGATTGCCAATGAGACAACTATCCACCAAAGTTTAAATAAAGTGATGTAAGTAATTTTTATAATTGTACGGCCTTCAACAATGAGGAAAACCATACCGTATAGTCGGCTATAAAAGGCCCCGACATGAAAAATATGAAACATTTCAATTGAAAAAACTAACGGCCTAATTCATAACAAAACAATTAACGAAAAACAAATATGACAGACATGAACTAACGACAACCACTGAACTACAGGCTCTTGACTTGGGAAAGGATCATAAAGAATGCGGCGGGGTTAAACATGTTGGTGGGTGCTCAACCCCCCCCCTAACCTGGGACATTAGTGTAATTGATGGGGGCTTTACGTTCAGCTTCACATATCTTATGCATATTCATAACGATAGCATGTTACTGTAAAATACATATACATATGCACTGCTTTGGTGTTGGAAAATCCGGCGATTCAATGAATGAAATATCTTTGATAAAGATACGCAGTTTGACCATCTATTGTATGATTCAGCACATTGAAATCTTAATAAGTATAAAAGATGATGCAATGTCTAACTTTAGAGGGATGGCAACTCTGCAATGTAGTAACATATTACCTAGCATAGGTGGTCCTGGAGGTGGAGTCTCATCTGCAAAAAAAATGTTATCAACACGTTGGTGTTAAATTGTCATATTTGGGTTTCATTTGTTCTATTTTTTATGGTGTGATTGATAGATTAATGCTCAAGTTTATCATATCATAAAAATGTATTTGCATATGCACAACATATAATATGATACTGTCATATACACGTTGACCGCTTTAAACTAGGCCAATATTGGCAGTAGGTTTTGCAACGGTAATATTGACGAACACTTTTCACAATATCATAACACGTAATTTGGAGGTTCTGATCTGAATTTCTTTTCTTTTTTTTTTATAATATCACTAACACAGTAACAATACTTAATAGTTACTGAAGTCAGGTATCCATTCTGAAACACTTTTACTGTGTAGCTTCAGTTGAAAGGTAATAAATAGTCTGAAAGCGCTTTAAAGGTGAATTCCTTCTAACTGGGACTGAGTAGTCGGTATCAGATGTTTATATGATATGCCTTCTATAGTCTTTTGAAATAACGTGAGTGATTTTGAAATGTTTAAAAAAATTCAAACGATTCGATGGTATGATGAAAAGTAATGCAGCTTGATTGGCTTCTCCGCATCCTTCATAACTTTATATTTTTAAAGAGTGTTAATTTTCGGCTCATTTTCTAACACAAGCAATGATAAATTTGTAATATTAATAACACAATACCATAAATAATTTCTGGTGGTGGTAGTGTTGGAGGTGGAGGCCCATCATCTGCAGAATAAAAATAGTTTTAAATATTAATACAAGCAGACATGTTTATGAGTTTATTTTATTTTTCAATTACTTGAATGTTGATGGATGCTTAGCGTTCAGCTGTAATGTAAGGAGATAAATTAGTCCTGGAAAAATGTGTCCGGGTCTGACACAAATTGCTAGTTTTAAATGGTTACAGAATTCAATAGTAACTTAGTCCAATGTCAGTAATTTATGTCTTCGGACAAATTTTCTTGAGTATTAATGTCCATGTCCTAAAATTCCATGTCTTAATTACTTTATAATATATATATTTTTTTTTAATAATTTTACACTTACTTTTCCTTAGGAAAATATATTACATTATAGATTTTTATCATGTTTATAACTAAACAAATTTCTTTCTATATTCTACTCTTTTGACATTTGGATTAATATTAAGAAAGTTATGAGAATTGAAATTTAAAAGGGACTTTTTGTCCACGAAAAATAGATAAGATAGACTTTTTTTAACTAGGAAATTAATTTTTTAACATTATTCATATTTTTCATATTTTCATAATGTAGGCATTTGCAGAAGAGTTTGATAAAAATTTGAAATTTCCTTTGAAAATAAGTGCCAAACATATTTTTCTAGCTACGGAATATATATCCTGGCACTTACTTTCCAAGTAAAATTATGGTCATGGACTTGAATACCTTGGAAACAAAGTATGGGAACACATTTTACTACCAGACAGAATTTACTGTTGCATAAACACAATATGCATGTTCATTGAAATATACCCTCTGATACTTTTTAGTGAAAGATTTCACCGATGTATGCTGTCTATACATGTGTATATCTCTATTGTACTCAATTTGTATAGAAGAAAATCGGACAAGGTGTCCCTTTGGCAAGAAGATGAACATTATTCAATTATAAGATTAAGTTCATGCATCAAGTTCAAATCATATCATATAGATAAACAGCCGGTCAATAAAAAAATTTCTCCAATTACTATCCTGACCTGTTGATTATTTTTATTTAATCAATGTGAGGTTCGTTTGATCTCAATTCTTCATTGGTAAAAGAAATCAAATATGACGTCAAATTTTCTTGCTTTCTTATGTATTTCCTTTTGTGACGTCATAAAATTGGGCGAACAATGTCTGATGACGTCACATTCAAAGAACACATGATGATTCGAAAAGACGGATTAAGGTAGCACTTCACAGTTAGGTGTGTAGTTTCGCATTTTGCCTCCTGTGAATTTTCAAATATGAAGGCTAGTGTGCAAAAACGTTCATTTTTGGATAGCTGAAAATTGATATAGCCTTCATAGTGGGTTTATAGGAACATCAAGATTGTGTAATGTATGTATTATCGACTGTTTTCTAGATCTGTATGACAGTCCATATTTTCATATCCATACCACACATTGGTCCGGAAATTATTGTAATGTTTTTTTTTCATCTTTTTGTCGCACGAACTTTGCGATTAAATTTTACGAAAAAAATGAGGCAAAAGACACCCGATTATTATTTGACCATTTGGTAGACTAATGTCAATAGTTTCAGAAAAGGTATATTTCAAAGGGATTTAAAATTCAATTTGAACCAAATTTTGGGGGAATATGTGACATTTTAATGCCCCTTTTTGCAATATTGTTTGGTAAATAAATGCAGCACCTTGCCATGGATATACAAAAAGGTAGTTATAGTTTAACATTTTAACTTTTGAAACTCAAATCAATGGAAGATACTGATCACATACATATGTACAAGTATGACACCAACAATTGGCTTAATGATTTAGAAAAAAGTAAAATAACAAAAATACCGATTTCCATGAGAAATGCAAAACGGAAAGTCCTGCATAGAATGGCGAAATCAAAAGCTCAAACACATCAAACGAATGGAAAACAACAGTCATGTTCCTGACTTGGTACAGGCGTTTCCTTATGTAGAAAATGGTGGATTCAGAAAGCCAGGAATTGAAGATGATTACACATTTTGTGGTTCAATCTTAATTTTATTTTCTAACTGTGGAGTGCTACATTATGGCACATCAGAAAGCACAGACTTGCACCTTTTTATAGATAAATCTTTCTACAAATCCACTGTTAGATTCTTATTTCAATTCTGAAGGAAAAAATCTTCTAGAATGGCAATATATGAAAATTCTATTGTTTATAGTCCTTAGCAACCAACTATAGACATTTTGACACTAAGATATGGTTCGGTCTTAATTTGTACTTCATTAGCTTCACCCTGGTAACCAAAGATTGCGCTTATCAAAGTATTAAAGTTTGCTCCTGATATTTTATCTGACAGTTACTCTTTTGAATTCATATACTTCAATCTAATTATTGTTTTGAAGACATTGTTATATTTTTGTCTGGTTCTGGTCATAAGATATAAAAAAATATTTCAAGCGTGCAAACAAAAAAAAAAACATACCACCATCATCAGACTTTCTCAATAAGTCCCGTATTAATTTTTCTTCATATTTATCCTGGCCATATGATCTTGCCTGAAAATATATGATTAAGTCATTGCATTTTATTTGCAATAGTGAGAAAAGCAATAATTAAGTAAAACAATTCAGAAGCCATTGCGAGATGATATTCTAAATTTGTAATAACATTTACGGTACCAATTTTACTAAAGCGCATTTCGACAGCTACCAAAGAAATATCCAAACTCATAAGTCGAAAATAAACTGATAATGCCATGGCAATAACAGTAAACGATCAAAAGACAAACAACTCTACACAAAACACAACATAGAGCACCAAAGACCGAGCAAAACGAACCACAACAAAACCGGTGGTTATCTCAGGTGCTCCGAAAGGGTAAGCAGATCCTGCTATACATGTGGAACCCGTCGTGTTGTTCATGTAAGTATAAATCCGGTGATTAGTCTAATTCGGAGAAAAGAGGACCGAGTTGTGGTTACGACAATTCGGGAACATGTTGATGTTGATGGCGTCCGTAACATTTACGAAGGGATTATTTCAACTTCACCACTTGGAACTCATTGTTTAATAGCTTCCTTGTGAGCAGCAACCCTTTATCAATTAGAAAATACAAGCCCTGGAATATCGTATCAACTGGGATCTATATCATTTGCAGGCGCTACTGGAATGTTGCACGCAGTTTTATGAAACTGTTATTTTTTGTTTATAAACTTCATGAGAAAAATGATACGAAGATTTCTATATAACTATAATCTGCCCTCGATGTTGATTGGCCAGTCTACAAAACATCTTATCATAATAAACGGATTGGCTGAACGTTTTTAGACTTTATAGAAAATATGAACTGTGGATAGAACAGATATTTCTAAAGTTTTGCTAACTGGAAAGAAAACATAGCGGCAATGATTTTACTAAGGTTACATTTATCAAACTTGCCAAAAAATAATTGATAGAAGGCTTTTTGAAAAAATAATATTTATTTGCTTCAAATCAGTTGAAATGTATTGCTACCAGAAGCAAATCTTGTTTCTATTGCTCACTTATCTGTTTTTTTTTCTTCTCTTAAAACACAAAGTTATTTGTGTTCAAAAGAATGACGATTGAAAAACCTGAATTAAGAATTCTTATATTAGAAAGGAGTACTAATAGGGTGGCATACATGACAATGATGAAATATTGTTTCCATTGAACCCATAAGTAAAAGGAAATCAAATTTTAAAATCTACTCTTGTGAAACTAACTGACAAACATGAACTAGAGTTGTAAAGGGTAGAGTTTGAGATAAATTCCCATTAGAATGTAAATAACTCAAAGAAACCCTGTATATATAACAAAGAAGATGTGGCATGATTGCCAATGAGACAACTCTCCACAAGAGACAATGATAAATAAACAATTTATAAAACAATCGAAGAATTCTTATAAAAACTATGTTTGAAATTGGTTGTACTTAATCATTGAAGGTTCTGTAGAAGATGCAATGTTTGACAGTGAGTGTAGTTAACCAAGAATAGCTCTGCAGTAGATGCAATGGTTGGCAGTTGTTGTACGTACTCAACCATATAAGGATCTGTGGTAGACGCAATGTTTGAAAGTGGTTGAACTACATCAACAAAGGTTATTGTAGTTTATACAATGTTTGACAGTGATTATACTCAACCAAATAAGGCTCTGTGGTAGACGCAATGTTTGACAGTGGTTGATCTACTATAAACTGAAATATCAACGAATGCTCTGTAGTTGACGAAATGTTTGACAGTGATTATACTTGATTGATTGATTGGTGATTATACTCAACCCTAGAAGGCTTTGCGGTAGACGCAATGTTTGACAGTGGTTGGTTTACATCAACGAAGGCTCTGCAGTTGACGCAATGTTTAACAATAATTAAACTCCACCATAGAAAGCTCTTAGGTAGACGCAATATTTGACAGTTGTTGATCTATATCAAAGAGGGCACTGTAGTAAACACAATATTTGACAGAAGTAGCGTTTTCTACAGAAAATGCTCTTTATTTCGGCATTGGTCATGATTCAATATTTCAGTTTTGCATTGTATATTTAGTTCGCATCAATATTTAGAACTAATAGAAAACCTCGACCAAAAATGATAGTTTCGGGTCATAGTAAATTTTAAATCCTTTGAAACTTACAGATCGACCAAAAAATATGAATCCCTTTACAATGATGGACAATTTTAAAAAGAAAAAAAAAGAAAAGATCAGCCTGTCTACACCTGGTGTCTCTTTCATGGTGCTTGATCAATGTTAATATAAAATATATGTCTTCGTTAGGCTTTCAGTTTTGCATTGGACACTATTGAAAATATAACTGACCATTCTTCATAGCAAAATTGCCTAAGACACGTGTACAGTGCAAGTGAAAAACATATATCAAGGTAAGATTCTTCTTCTACTTAGTGTTATACACAGCAAAACAAAACAAAACAAACGAAATTACTAAATGACTTACCCACGACTTGGCGTTTGTCACACAAAGACCGCCTATAAGCACGATAATAACTTTCAGATCCATCTTTTCCAATATAATCCGACTGCATAAGAGACGATGTTTATATACTTGTATACACCTTGACAACAGTTACACATGATATTATAATCATTAGAAATCTTTTTTATATCGATTAAAATAAATTTTCTTTCATGAGTTTTTTATCACTTACTGGATGAAGGATCGGATGATGTGGTTAACTGTACGCAAGGATGCGTTCTTTTTGATTCTGAACACAGAGTTTTAATTCATTTTTAAAATCAAATATATAACTTATGTAAATTTAAATTTGCAGTACGAAGAAATTTATACTATTATATAACAGTATTTATACATAATATGTTAACAACAAATTTTCTGAAGTCTGTTACTATTCAATTATGCATACAATACCTCATGCAAAAAAATCATCTATAAAATGTTAAAATTTAGGCTATAAAACTAAAAATTCAACTATTCTAACCAGTGAACTCGGTTGTTTAAAAGTGGACATTTTAACTTAAAGCCAAAGTATTGAATTCTAAAATTTTGACTATTACCAAAGTCAAAATTTGTGGGCGTTTCTGATCGTCTCGTTTCCTCTTAGCTGATATTCTGTGTGCATTTGCAAGTAGGAAATTATTTCCTTTTGTTTTCCATTTTTAAGTAATGCACCATCAGGTTGTATAGACGTACGGGAGTGTACAAGGAACATAGTGTTAATTTGTATGTGTTTAATCTTGATAATACCATTTTTAATCTTGATATTATCATCTTTAATATCGGAAGTATCGACTATAAGGTTGAAAAAACGAATTTTGACACAAACATCTCTTTTTTTTACTTTAATTTGTAAACTTAAAGGGGCATCAGCTGTCAAATTCATGTTCGCCGATTTTACTCAAATTATCCTATTTGATTTATAACATACTAAAACGTATATCCAAATTACAAAAAAGTCTTAAATAAACAATTAACAATGCAAGTACTCGAAAATATGTATCAACATTTCGTGTGTATTTTTGTCTAAACGTTATCAAATTAACCATCGAGATGACCTCCAAAGACTGCCGACGGTCATTTAACCCGATATAAATGTTCCGGACCATATGAGTATTTGGACCATACGCGTATGGTCATGACCATGTGCGTATACTCATATGGCCCGCCCATACGCGTATTAAACAAAATTTCTTCTAATTTCTACTTATTTTCAATCAATAAATGTGTTCTTGCTCCTTTTCATACGACCTTACTGGCAATTAAAGATCGTATGAATAGGATCAAGAACACATTTTATAACTGAAACATTTAGGGAATTTTAATTCACTAAAAACAAACACCAAAATAAACATCTATACTACTAAAGGAAGAGACCGATTTCATTGAGCCGCAACTCCTCTGAAACCATACAAAGTTGGAAATATTTGTGATATGACGTATAAATTTAGTGTTTTGTACTTCCTAATTTTGTCTTTGAAACAATCTTTTTTTCCACAGAAAATGCCAATTTTTGAGAAAATATCCAAATTCGGAGACCGTTATCGATCCGTGTCTTATACGCTTTCGCGCATGCTCAGTCGACGTATCAAAGAATTCTACTTTATATATAACTAATATAGGACATACAATGGTGTTGATATAAAAATTACACCATACCAGGCCCTTTTGTTTTCAACATAATTAATATTATCAATAATTAACAAGTACATGGTCGATACCGATACCAATAGTATATGTCACCTGTTACCTATTACCTAATCTGTACATTCCACATCTGTCAGTCGCACCACCATTTGCTATATACACGGGTCATAAACACACCTAAACTTCGTCATTATACAGGGTTGACACTACTCAATTCAATCATTGTCACATTGTTTTCGTTTGTAGTTTTTTTAGTCAGTTTTACTTTATAAGATAACAATTACAAATACTAATAAACTGTTATCACAGAGATATGTCTCGCCTTTTTGTAATTTTGATAATGCAAATGTTGAAATTAAAATAGCAATACTTTAACATGTTAGACGTTATGCAAATATTCAAAGTCGATGAACCATGACTGAAGGCACATGGCTACACAATCTCCATGGAATTGGAATGAGATGTTCCAATGCTAATACAACTGCATACCAAATACCATTGACTTATTATAAGTCGTTCCCTTTAAACAAACCTAAACACAAACATTAACTTGTAAACTATGTAAAAGTTTCAAAGTCAATGAACCATGAATAGGGGTGGGGCTATATAATCTCCACGGAAACGATACTTGCAAATGCCAATAAATTTGCATACCAAATATCATTGACTTAACATTAGCAGTTCATCTGAAACTGATCTAATCACAAACTAATACATGTAAACTAAGCAAAAGTTTCAAAGTTAATAGACCATGACTGAGGGAGCGGGGCCAAATTTTCTCCATGGAAATGAGATGTGCTAATGCTTATACAACTGAACACCAATTAACATTGGCATACCACTAATGGTTCCCCTTGAACTGACCTAATCACAAACTAATACATGTTAACTTAGCAAAATTTTCAAAGTCTATAGACTATGACTAAGGGGGCGGAGCCAAATAATCTCCATGGAAATGAGATATGCCAATGTATGGAACGCCATAGCTGTCTTATGTGTCTTTTTTATTGCTTTTCTATTATACGAAGGTGCTTTTCTATTATACGATGGTGGTTTTCTATTATAAGAAGGTGCTTTTCTATTATACGAAGGTGCTTTTCTATTATACGATGGTGGTTTTCTATTATACGAAGGTGGTTTTCTATTATACGATGGTGCTTTTCTATTATACGAAGGTGCTTTTCTATTATACGAAGGTGCTTTTCTATTATACGATGGTGCTTTTCTATTATACGATGGTGCTTTTGTATTATACGAAGGTGCTTTTCTATTATACGATGGTGCTTTTTTATTATAATAAGAAGCTTTTTTAAGGTATGCAGTTGTATAAGCATTGGCATATGTCATTTCCATGGAGATTATTTGGCCCCGCCCCTCAGTCATGGTCTATTGACTTAAACTTTTGCTTAGTTTTCATGCATTAGTTTGTAATTATCGGGAACCACTATTGTAGGTCAATGATATTTGGTATGCAGTTGTCATAACATTGGTACACCTCATTACCACAAAGATTATTTGACCTTGCCCCCTCAGTTATGGTTTATTGACTTTGACATTTTGCTTAGTTTACATGTATTAGTTTGTGTTTAAGTTTGTTTAAAGGGAATTATGATAAGTCAATGGTATTTGGTATTAGCATTGGCACATCTCATTTCCATGGAGATTGTTTAGCCATGTACCTTCAGTCATGGTTCATGGACTTTGAATATTTGCAAAACTTGCATGTTAAAATGTTGCTATTTTAATTTCAACATATGCATTATAAAAATTACCAAAAAGGGAGACATATCTCTATGATAACAGTTTATTTATTTTAGTAAACCTGACTGGAGGAATTTCAGTAGAAAAAATCTATTTAATTTGAATTTTCTGTGTTTGATATCTTCATACCATGACTCTAAGTTTTAAAAAGGTATCTGGGGGGGGGGGGGGGGCATGCCCTCCAGACCCTCTTAGAAAATTTCTCGCATTTGGCCCTTAACACTGATACTACTAAAAAAAACTGAGAACATTCAAATTTTACTGATAGACTAACTTTAGATAAACACCTCTGCGTTATAGATGAGCATCACCACACAAGTTGGAGACTGTTCTTAGTAGGAGAACGGTAGAAGATGCCTTGAAATGAAATTTAGCTCAAGTTCAAGATAGGTGATACTCCTATTTAGCCAAATTTAATCACTGGAAAGCATTTTCGCAAATATTAGCATTGATTTTAACCCAAATCTAATAGTAAAAATAAATACATTCAGCTACATACTAGTACCTCGGACAGTTTCGAAAAGTACATGTTCGCTAAAGCTTGCCGACACATTTTTTTAAAAATCAATGGACTTGTGTACTCCCGCAATACTTGTGACACAGTAAAACATGTCTAAACCGAACCGAGTACAGTTAGTTGAAGTAGAGACATATTAAACAAGAGATTGGAAACTCTGAATATTATACAATAGAAAATTGAAGAGGTTTCGGTCTGGAACATTTTATGACAAAATGAAGTTTTCATATTATCATGACAATATTTTGAAACTTACTAAATAACAAAGTATTGAGGGGCATGTGTTGATTTTTGATACTTCTTTTACAACTTCTGTGATCGGTATATTTAGACATCTTGTTAAGTTTTTGAAAAATTAAAGATTATTTCTGAAAACTTAACTACTTTCTTTCTTTATATATGACTCTTAAACATGTTATATTCTTATCAAAGCATGTGGCTGCGATATTTCTCGAGATTTCACAAAGTTGCTTATCTCTAGTATAATATGTCTCTGGTTGAAGTACTTTTTAATTTGGCAAATTGTAAGACCAATGACTTAATATTCAGGACACAATTAATAAATTTCAGTTCAAACACAAACATTTAAATATTTGTTCATTATCGGCCAAATTCTTTTAATGCATGTACAAGTCACAGTTACATAAGTTTTCATTTAAAGCATTACCGAAGAATTTCATTTAGCTGAACCATGTAGCCAACCTTTATATATAAAAAATAAAGATAAAACAGGGAAGGACAATAATTCGATATAAAACATCAAACAGCACCAACACCACCAATCAAGCCATCAAAATAGAGACATACAGCGACAACACAAAAAGGAAAATGTACAGAAGGTAGAGAGAAGTCCCGACATGGTACAGGCACTCAGGCAAAACTTGGCAGAGTGGCGGGGTTGGACCATTTTTTATGGGTACACTAACCTTGCCCCTCAATCTACTCGACTTCCTATCAAGATTCGAAAGACGCGCAGCAAAAAGGCTTGCACAATACAATTGCCAACTCAGCATCCATATAAGTTAGAAAAATTGGTTATAAAAAATACTAAAATAGTTAGAGGATATACAGATCTGTACATTGTACATGTACTACCTCTACACAAAATGATACAGTTTCATATAACCAATATACCACTTTAAAGCTTGAAGTTGTTGAAAAGTCATGGGGTTTCATAAGATTAAGTATATAAAGAAGTTA